GCTCTTTCTGCTGGACTGTCGTTAACATGGTCATCAGTAGCTCATGGTTTAACAGATCGCATGAAAAGAGATATTTTAATTTCAGTTGTTATAATGATAACCATCACATATTCATCAGAACAAGTGTTGCAAAAGGAAGAAGGTGCTAGCAGCAAGGAAACGAAGGATGTTTAGCCACCATCTTCGTTTCCTTGCTGCTAGCACCTTCCTTTTGTAACCCAAGAACATACAGTGCTACTCATAAGTTTCTGAACGAGAAATAGAAAAAAAATGAATTCATTGATCAGAAAAAACAGTCAGTCACGTTGCAATGGGACAGATACTGCCTTAGTAACGAATCTAACTGAAAGAACATTTTTTGAGAGGAGCACGATGTTTTTTTTGTAAATATTTTCATCTTGAAAATTCTCCACAAGCAACTGAATGGATTTCCCTGTATGAACTTACTACTGCAGCGAATGGATTGCTTTTTCATGGGGCTCAGTCCTGGAATAGATAATTCTTGCCATTAGACCAAACTTATTAGATATGCAAATATTGCTGATCGCGAAATTTCAGAGGCCACTTGTCGAAAAGACCGCGAGATTTTAGAGACCACTTGTCAATTTCGTAAAGCTTCTGTCAGTCTTGAGGAGAGAATATGGCCAAAAGTGAAGTAAGCACATTGCAGGCTTGTTTCCGGTGTATATGCGTTATATGCTGGCAATAAATACGATCGTATCCTTACAAAAACTCTGAAGAATGTGATGAGAGATTCGATTATCGAAGATGGAGGAGAAGGCATTATTGTCTTTGAAACAGCCACTCAGCATAATCGCACTCAGTTCGTCGCTACAATCTTTCGCGTTCATGCGGCTGTAATGAAACACGCCTTTAAAGGTCTTTTTAATCTCATTAAAGAATCCCATTTGAAAAATCAAGAATAAATGTGAAACTTTGTTGAAGCATTGTTACCATCTATCCAAGTACGTTTTTACTCATCGCTTGGCACGGATTTATTGCTTTTTGTATTTTTTCTTTTTCGGGGCAGGAAATTGGCTTTTTTTTCAAAAGTACTTCGATGTTTTTCCTTTATGCTTGCTCATGGTTCTTAGCTAATCTTCCCTTTAATGAAAAACTTGAACTGCCATTCTCTGACTCTCTCGGGCAAGGCTTATGTTTCTGCCTTAACAGTAAGAAGCATGACTCAGATGTGTAAAATACGGATGAAACGAGCAGGCAACTTGAGAGCAATTAAACCTGAGAAGTAGCTTAAGTGGCCCCCCTTTAGCACTTTGAGCATTGCAAATTTGGTTTTATTCTCATCAAAATTAGTTTCATACATCATAATGAGGCCAACAGAATAAAATATTCGGACAAGATGTAGCATCTGCTCGATAGTTATTGCAAGGATGTAAGCGTGAACGTTCTTTTCAAAACTGACTTAATGGACCGAAACATTCCTGCTCAAAATTTTAAGTATATTTTTCTAACATATATCATAATATCTCCATTATTATTAAGAGAGTAAGGGGTAGATTACCTGTCAGTTTAGAAAATTGCTCTGACTGAGAGATTAATTCGGTAAAAATCATTTAAAAAAAAACAGTCAAGGTTTGATTACTGTTGTTTTTGTTTGCATATATTTATGGAGGTTTTGAATCTTTGCTCGCTTGCTATGTACTAAAATATTTTGTTCCAAAGGAATTGGGTTGTGCATATGTATCTTTTGTGCTTACTGTTTGAAATTTTTTTTGAAATTTTTGCTGATTTGGTTGCCGAAGTTTTACAGGTGGAGAAGTTCGAGTAGACGAGTGGTTGGATATGGCGCACGAGGCGTTGAATATCAGTGATGCTGAAATTGATAAGTCTGTCTTCACCTGGCTAAGAACCTACATGATCAGAGCTGGGAGTTGTGCGCAGGTCTCATCACGAAGAATGTCCGCATTATTCATTGATTTCCACCGCCCCAGTGAAGCATATTACAGTGCAGTGCAGGAATTCATTCAGCTCGGCGCAAATTCCACTGCAAATACTCTTTTCGGGATGCTAATTCATTCCCCCTTGGAAAAGTTGCATTCAGAAGTGAGTTTTTCACAGCTGTTGCTGACCGTCAATTTACACCCTTGAATATGAAATAAATTGCTGAATTATTTAATTTGATTTCTACGAATTTTCGAATCATTGCCTACCAAAAAAAACTCGAAAATGTGCTTGTAATCACCATTTATAAACATTATCTCGCCTTTGCGGAAATTTTTTCGAATCTACAAATTTGTCTTGTTTTTTCCACGATTACATTTTCCAGGAATATGGAATGGCATACGCTAAAACGATCGGTGCAATGTTGGTGCAAAGACCTTACTTACTGAATATTCAGGACGTGATTCAGTTG